TCTAGCCGTAGATTCATTCGATTTGCTCATCGTATAGATGAAAGTAGCATGAGGTCCGCGGCAAGGTTGCAGACTAACCTAATCTCTCTCTCTCTCTCTCTCTCTCTCTCTCTCTCTCTCTCTCTCTCTCTCTCTCTCACACACACACACAAACAAACTACCAGGGAAGAGAATGACATGAGCACAGAGCAGAGGAACAGCGACGAGCGAAACGAAGAGGGCGACGAACACTCACCTTGCGATGCTAGGGGGCGGGTGAAAACGAAGAGGACAGTTGGCCTTCACGAGCGTCGGCGCGTCAAGAAAAGTAGCGGTGGCACGTCAACAACAACGGGGTTCGGAATTGAATTCAAATTTCAAGTGCCTCACTGTTGCAGGGGCAGCGCAAGAAGATAGGTGCCCCTTACGAGGGCATATGGCGCAGAGCCCAATGGAATGGGACCGCCAGTTGAGGAAGGGCGTCCTGGAAAGTTGCTCACACTACCGACAGGGGCCTGCCGGAAAGATTTTTAGGCCAAGTGGTGCGACAGGGTAAATCGGCTGTCGGAGGGGCACGACGCACATTCATGGAAAATACAGGGTGCCAGGCAAATTTCCCCTTTTTTTTTACAAAAGAAGGGGGCCCTGAGGGCTTTTTTTTGGCTAATTCTTTAAGCCCAACCAATTCAATTACCTGTCAAATCTGGACAGGATGGCCTTTCAGGCCTTYTTTTATTGTCATTATAGTATTACGGGGAACCCCGTACCAGCCACATCCGTGCTCAAGCCTCCAAAGAGGGAACATGCATGCGGGAGCTGCACCCACCAGCAAGTGCGATACCTGCTACAGCAGGTGGGCCATACTGGCCAGGGGTCAGCCAGATGCATCAGGACCGAGCTTCTTCCATGGGCCCTCCCCTCCGGTCCCCTCCCCCTATGAACATCAGGAGTCTCTGCTCAATGCCACTCGGGGGGACCAACAGTATATCTCTAGGTGGCGGGCGCCAAGCTTGCCTAGGAAGGTGCATGAGGCCAATTGGGATTGAACCCAAGACCTCCTGAATGCCACTTGCATGCCTTACCACTTGAGCTAGGCCGCTGGAGGCCCTGAGGGCTTCATTCATTATGCAACATTCAAGGAAAATACTGGGGGCACAGCCCAGCTCAGATTGGTGTCGGGAATTAATATGTCCAAGAGAAGAATTGGCCGAGTCTAGACCGCTGACCCGAATTATCCACGACCCTGAAGCGACAAATTTGCCTACAAGGCCAACAAAGCCAAACAAAACAATTCTTTTTTTTTTTTTTTTTTAAAAAAGCGCGACGGCTTTGAGATATGATCATTGAGCTGACCGGCCCCAAGCAATTCATTACTAGTTGGTTTTACCTGTCACGTTCCATCATCTGGATTCGAATACAGGTCTGTATTTCAACAGTTCATGGGTGTACCCACTGATCTAGGCTCTTGGGTAAACAAAACAATTCTCGATTTATGCGTGTCATCCTTGCGTAGGGGCCATGCTAATCCTCTCTGTATCGTTCCTGTCCCGAAGGATTCAATGGGCCCTTCTATTCGAGAAATCGAGAAAAGTGGAGTAACTTTCGAGAAAGTCGTTTTTTCCCGAATACAACGCAAATATCTTATGGTCGCGGCGGGACGGCAGACTGCTCTGGCTCTAATATTCAACCAACTTGCCGCGCCAACCGCGTCCACTTCCCTCTTCCTTTTCGGCGCCTCCACCGGCCTCGTCGCCACTCGCCATCCGCCAACATTTTGATTGCATGTGAACATCATTTTGTCCAGATGCATTCGAAATCTTGGCGGATGGCGAGTGGTGCAACCAGGGCCTTACTGTTACCAGATTTTATTCCAAGGATCAAACTATCGGCTGCGAGCCTGCGCCCTCCGCGGTCTTTCTCGGCCCCAGCTATTGATGGCAGCTGGAGCCGAACTCGCTCAGTGGTTATCGCAGCTGCACCCACCGTAGTGTTATCATGCTGCGCTGCGCTGTGCGGGCGGGCGGTCTATGGTAGTACTGCCGGCTTGTCGACTGGGCGCGGCGGGCGGGCGGGCGGTCATGTTGTGTCGATTTGCACGTTTGCACGTGCTGTTCATCCCGCCAAGAGTCCTTGGGGACATCCATTAAAAAAGTAAATAAAATTGGAACGAATCGAGAATGGAAAAGATGAGCATGGCCCTGAAAAAAAAAAAAAAATCCCCTCCCCTCCAAAAAGGTTGCGAGAAGAACCGCGCGCACAGCGCACAGCTACGGAGTAGCTGCGCTGGCATGGCGGAATGCGGCAGCGGAGAGCGCGAGTTGGAGCTGTGCATGAGCGCCGACGGATGCTGAAAAAACAGGCGGGCTGTTTTCAGGCGGGAAGACCATTTTGGATACGGCGTGCTGGGATGAAAACGGCGGGCCGATCTGTGTGTGAACAGCGTCGGAGTTGAAGACACCTGGCTTGTCCTTTCAACATGGCGCTCGTCCTTCAACAGCGGGCGCGCCCTTGATTAGATGGAAGCAGTCGGACAGGAAATACGTGCGGTTTATTTTACGTGTAATAATACAGTAATTGGGTGGAGCACTTCTGCGCGGGAGTTTCTGGGCTGATTGGATGTTCTGCATCGCTGAGGGCGCACTCTATACGCCTGTCAGCTAGTAGCTATCAAATCATCGGAAATCCTCGTCTTCAACGAAATGCCATCGATATTACCCGCGCGCGGAGTCGGCGATTTCCTTCACTCCATGTGTTGATCATTGTGCACCCCTCTGCTGCAAGCGCTCTACGTCGTTTTTCGATCCCAGGTAAGAGGCGCGCCTTCCCTTGTGCCGTCACTCCTGGTGCAATAGCAAGTCAACAAAAAGCAAGCACACACACACACACACAGGGGGAGAGAGAGAGAGAGAGAGAGAGAGAGAGAGAGAGAGAGAGAGAGAGAGAGAGAGAGAGAGAGAGAGAGAGAGNAGAGAGAGAGAGAGAGAGAGAGAGAGAGAGAGAGAGAGAGATGAGACAATTAACCAGTTGTGGTTTCGGGTCGATTACTCTAGTGGAAGGAGGAGGAGGAGGAGGAGGAGGAAGAAGAAGAAGAAGAGGAAGACGTTTGCAGAGATTGCCTACAACTCTGTTGCTGGGTCAGGAGTTCGCAGAGCTCTGTGATTGGTGGAGCGGGATCGCGACAAGGGGAAGAGTGCGCGGGAAGGGAGAGATTGGAGAGATGGGAGAGAGAATGAATAGTCTAATCTCTCCGGAATAGCTTGTCTTTTTCTTGTTTTGTTTTTCATCTCGCGAGGAAGGCGAGCATGAAGATTCCCGCAGATTGACAGCTGAACGGGGTGTGAGTTAATGGATCGGTTTTTGTTTTTTATTTTTTTATTTTTTTTGGGTGGGGACCACGTTTCTGTTGGTTTTCTCTTTTCGTTTTGTGTGAACCTTGACGGGAGTTCCTACTCCTCTCCACCTGATTCTCTCCTTTTTTTTTTCTTTTTTTTCTTCCTGTCTGATCCTCTCTACTGTTCTGCCTCGACGTCTCGTTGATCATAAACCATGATAAAGATGATTACGATCAGTGCGACGACGGAAGGAAGGCGGTAGCAGGGGAGGAGGAGGAGGAGGAGGAGGAGGAGGAGGAGGAGGAGGAGGAGTGATTGCCGCGCTGCGTGTTCTGCGTGGAACGGCTGCCCAACGCCAAAAGCGCCAAAAACAACAGCGAGGAACACGGCTGCCTAGTGTCGGCAAACGCGAACCTTCCCGCTCTCCGTCCCTCGTTTTTGTCTTTCTTCTCTCTCCTCACTCTTCCCTTCTCTCCCTACTCCATGTCCAGCGTGCCTTTCGCTCCGTGGCTTTTTCCTCCTCTCTGTTTTCTTAACCCCCCCCCCCCCGGGTCCCCCTTGTTCGATGCCAACCCCGGTCGACGTAGCCGACACGTGGCCTCGCTTACCGTCTTCCTCCGAGTAGAACGCGCGGTGGTCACTCTCTGCATCTGGACTGGAAGTTGCCTCAACTATAGCTGTACAGCTATAATGACCGTGCGTGTTCTATTCGGGGGAAGATCGTACCCTATCTCCCTGCCATCCTTTCATGTTTCTCTGAGCTTGTTCCCGTCTGTTGCGACTCTGATCCCGACGTGATCCCGACGCGGTGGCAGACACGTCGGGATCTGTTCCTGTTACTCTGATCCCGGCCGTAGGTGCCAGTCGTTCATTACTTTCTTAAGAGAACCAATTATAGGCTTGCCATTACAACAAGCTTAATAGTGTTCATCTGGATTCGAACACGAGTTCCATGTGTGTAGAATGGATAGACATGAGCTGCGTATCCGCCTCCTCCTCCTCCTCCTCTGTTTTTTCTCCTTCTGTTTTTTTTTTCCGTTTTGCTCCTCCTCTCCTTTCCCTGTGTTGAGTCGACGACCACCACGTGGCAGAAGGTTCTGGGAGATCAGGGCGCTTGTGTGGAGGAGGAAGAGGGCATTTCTTCTCGCTCTTCTCTCCCACTTCGCTAGCGGGAATGATGCTCGCTGGCGGGAAATGTCCTTGTTGGCGGGAAACGTTGCATGACGATGTGCCCGACATCCGATTATCATAACATTATCATCATAAAGAGGGGAAATAAATATTACAAATGGAAAACATAATAATTGAAACCTTGGATTAATTATTCCTCCTCTGGAATACCATGTCGATCTACACGTGTTTGCCACGTGGCATGACAGAAAGCAGTCTCCCCCTCCCCTCCTCCCCCTTCCCCCCCCTTCTCCATCGTCATTATCCTTTTCTTCTTCCGCGCATCCCAATCCCGACTTGCCTGCTCTATTCCCATTTTACACATCAACATATCCTTCTTTTTTGTTCTTTTCTTTTTTTTGTTAATATTAACTTACTTTAATAATGTATTTATAATGTATTTATATCCTGCGTATGGTCGTCGCTTAATCATCATCTTCAAAAAATTTACTCAGCCGCGACTCACACTCTTGTCTGCCCCCGAATAGACCGTACGGTCATTATCGATGCATCGGGAACGAAAGTTGCCCCAAATGTGGGCATAATGACTGTACGTTCCATTCGGGGGAAGACGGGTAGTACGCGCACAGATATAGACCAAAGACGAAGCCAATTCGGATGTAATAATAAATACTAGTAAATACGTAAAACGGAATGAACTGGGTTTCGATCTCGTAATCATCTTCTGCAAAGAATCCATCCTCAGCCGGGCCCGCGATCTATTAAGTAATCATCACCATTTTCATATAGTCAATTAGTTGGCCCGGCGCTCAATCATCATCATTTTCAAAGAATCACGTTGCCTCTCCGCGCTTGATCATCATCATCTGCAAAGAATCACTCAGCCGGCCCCGCGCTTCGTTAATCATTAAAAAAAATTCAAATAATCAATCAGCTGGCCCCGCGCTTAATTATCATCATCATCATCATCATCATCATCACAAAAAAATCATGAAAGTACCCTGAGTCCTCACCGAACGTTTACCACCCCAGTCCCGACCTCCGATCCGGGTGCTGACGTGGCCCTGTTTATCCCTCCGTGTGTTTTTCTCCGTCTTTTTCCTTATTTCTTCCTCCCTGCTTACCCGCCCTCTTAGCTCGTCCTCCCTGTTCTCCCCTCCTCCTTATCTCCCCCCAGTCAATGTTTCTTTGCTTGGATGGTTAGCGACGGCCTCGCTATTCTTAATAATCCTCAATTCTTTTTCTTCGGCGTGTTGAGACGTAGCGTGCTGTCTGCCCTTACATTTCCTCCTCCGACGTCTTTTATCTTCTTTCTTCTTCTTTCTTTCTTCTTTTTCTTTCACCCCAGTCCACTTAGCCGTTTGGTTGAGTGCCAGCATCATGACCGGGAGGACGAGTGTTCGATTCTTGGGATCGTCACGAGGAGCGTAAGATTCCATTCTTCTTCTTTCTTCTTCTTTCTTCTTTTCCTTTCTTCTTTCTTCATCTTTCCGTTCTTCTTTCTTCTTCTTTCTTCTTGGAGTGCAGTCGATCGAAACCCGCGTCGGGAAATGTGCGCGTTCTCTGGGACATGTATGCGGGGAGGATTTGTCATAAACAATCTCCGAAGCATGCACGCAAGGCAGTTGCCCCCTGTTTTCACTATTGGTTGAGCGTCCTACTCCTCTTTGGGAGGTGGCGCGTTCGATTCTTGGGATCGGCTCGTGCATGTAGGATACTATTTTTACCTGCGTAGCAACCATCAGTGAGGTCGTACATTGCTTGGTGGCTTTGTCGACGGCCTGTGTGGTCGTGTATGAGTGCGAGATTGTGACTGGTTACACCGGGAGGCGGAGAAATCCTTGCTGGAGTGGGGCTAAGCACTCGTCTTGGAGGTGAATTTTCACCCCAGTCCTGCTTGGGACGTGGCGTGTTCGATTGTTGGGAGCGGCTCATGCGTGTAGGATCCGATTCTTCGTCTTCTTCCTGTTCGTCTTCTCCTGCGTGGTGAGATCAGCTCGGGCGTGTAGGATCCGATTCTTCGTCTTCTTCCTGTTCTTCTCCTGCGTGGTGAGGCTTTGCGTGCTGGATGGGAGGTCAGTTGGTATGCCCCTCTGGGCATGGTAGTGCGGGAAGCCCCCTGAGGATGAGCTGAGCGCAGCACGATAGAAACGTGCTTGCGTCGGTGAACGTGCGCGTAAGTAAGAGACTACTGTAGCATACGCGGCATTGTACTGCTAATCTTGTGAAGCGTGTAAGAAAGGCAGTTTTGGCCCCATTTTTCATTACTCTGCTTCTCCTTCGGTAGCCCCAATCTTGACGTGCGCCTGCCTGGCTTGTTTTCTCGTATTCTTCTTCCCTTTCGGTTCGATTGTTGACGTGGTAGATCTCCTTCGGTAGCTCCAATCTTCGGGCTTGTTGTCTCGTATTCTTCTCTGTCCCCCTCTTTCTATTGGAATGGCGACGTGGTAAACCTCCCGCCGCCTCTGGTCTGCTTTTTTTTCTTTGTCCTTCCCTTTTTCCTCCTCTGGTCTTTTAAAATCGGCTCAGAGACCCAAGACATTGAATCTGTGCTATCTTGAATCGTTCTGAATTGAATCTAATTAATCCGCTATTCAATTGAAGCGAATTGAATTGAATTGAATCTGCTATTGAATTGAAGTACATTAGATTTGATCATTGAATTTGCTATTGAATTTCGATGAATTTGGATCAAACCAAGAGTACCTAATGGTGGTGGTGATGGTGGTGATTGGCGGGGTGAGTCAGGCGGAGGGGGATTGCTGACGAGGTGATTCAAACCTCGACTTTCGCTAGATCACAGTGAGAGTGATAACGATGATGATGATGATGACGCAAAGGTCATGATGATGATGCGAAGGTGATGGTGATGATGATGATGATGATGATGATGATGATGGGTAAGGACGAAAGTAGGGTGCACTGCAAGAAAATGGCGGGAAAATTAGGATTACCATGATGATTACGATGGGATGGACATTAATGATGATGATGATGATGATGATGATGATGATGATGCGGGGATATTAATAGTGATGATGATCATGGATAATGGCGGACGAAAGGTGCACTGGAAGAAGAGGGGTTAAAAAAAAAAGAGACGTTACCAAAAACGATGATGATGATGATGATGATGATGATGAGGAGGAGGAGGAGGAGTAGGAGGAGTAGGAGGAGGAGAAGGGGGAGCGTAAGGTGCATTGCAAGAAAAAGGGTTGGAAATCGAAAGAACATGAGCATCATTTTCGTTTCCTCCCTGCTACATACGTATTTCCCTCCTTACACCTCCCCAACCCTCCTCGACTCTCATTGCCCCCAAGTCGCTAATGACCTTGGGGGGAATCGTTTGGAAGACAGTGATTCCGCCTTCTAAACAAAAAGAGGAAAGAAGAGAAAAGAATTAGTGTTTTTTCCTCTAATGTACCTCGGGATTTTCCATATTTGTTTTGGACTCCCACCATGCTTCATTCATCTCGGCCAGCTCATCCACCCCGGTCGTTTCTTTTAATTACGTTTCGTTGTATGCAGTGGATAAGGTCAAGAGGGGAATGAAAAAAAAAAAAAAAAAAGGGTGAAGAGGGGAATTGATCAGCAGTGGATAATGTAAGAGGGGTGTGTGCTCGAAGCGTGTCGAAAGTGGTTCGGCTCTTTTTTTTTTTTTTTTTTTTTTTGTTGACGTGGATGTGTTGACGTGCTTGCTATACACACAACTCCGTAAAAGAAGCGTGACTGTGCCAGACTGTTTCGTCGGACTTTCGTTGACTCGTTGACTCATTGACTAGTCAGAGGCAAGATATGTTTGACTGATAGGCAAAGCTCTTCCCGACGAGGTTTTCTTTGTGTGGGTGTGGGTGTGGGTGTGTAGGATTTATTTGCTGGAATGGCTGTGTGTTAGTGGGTGCTTGTTTTTAAATATCCTTGTTTTTCCTATTCATGGGAGTTGTGGGTAGGATAGGTCGCATACACACATATATATGACGATATATAAAGACATATGTAAAACGAAGAAAATGAAGAAGAAGAAGAAGAAGTAGAAGAAAGAGAATGTAGAAGAAGAAGAAGAAGGGGAAGAAGAAAAAGAAGGAAAAAAAGAAGGAAAAAAAAAGGAAAAAAAGAAGGAAAAAAAGAAGAAATTGCCGAAGAAAAGAAAAAAAGATGGGGTGTGTCATTTGCTTTGTTTGACTGATAGGCCTTCCTCTTCCCTTTTCCTTTCTTTGACTGAATCCCTTTCTCTTTCTCTTTCTCTTGCCTCTGTGAGGTTTCGTTTCCTCCTCCTTTTCTTTACCTCTTTCCCTTTTGGCTGCATGCAAGTGGGCCCTTGTGACACACGGGGATAGGGGCAGCCGGCGCTCAATCTGTCATCCACGTGGCCGGCCTTGTACGTAAGAGGTGATGAACAGGCGGAGCTTTCCTTACATACTTCTTTCCTTTTTCTGTTTTTTTTTTTTTTTTTTTTTTCGCCCTTGCGCTCCGATACACGGTGTGACGATATATGTACATCTATTTATATTTATTTTTTTTAGCGTATAATGGGTTAATGAACTTTAATCCATGTGGTTGCATATGGATTTGAACTCATGATCCCTCCCTGCCTGTTCAGTGAACAGGTACGTGTGTACCATCCGCCCGTGTGCGGTGGCTGGGTGTGTGTCACGTGGATGAATGCCATTCGGACCCTATCCGTTTGAATGTTATCCAGCCACGTGGCTGAACCTCCTTTGCAGGTGTGCCTCATAGGTTCATATGTTCATACCCAAATCTTTCTCGGGCGTTTTATCTTTTCCCGCGCGCGGGATGTGATATGCTACCTCCTTATCCTTATCTTATCGTTATCTTATCGTTATCTTATCCTTATCTTATCCTTATCCGTTTGCTTGTGAATCTGGTGAGATGTACTTTGTTGTGGTCATTCTCTCTTTTTCTAATTAATGGTGTCCGTCATATGCAGATCTTCCTTAGGCCAATCCTGATCTTTTTATCCTTAATCTATTTGTACCTTTATCCATTTATATTTATATCTTTTTTATCCATTTGTTTGTGTTGATTGGTATTACAGGTGGGAGCGGACCTGGACCTAAGGCTGGGCAAGGGGCGCATTGGCGCGCTTTACCATTTGCTGCTAGTGCCTTTTGGCCATTTCTCGTGCTGTTGGCGTGGTTTATAATACGTGCAGCTTGCCGCGTGCAAGCAGGAGGGGTGTTGTGGGAAGCTTCTCTTATCTTTATCCATTTGTTGGTGCACATACGTTCAGCTTCCTACATGCAAGGAGAAGGGGTGTCGTGAGGGGGCATCTCTCTCTCACTCACCTTCCTCCCATTCGTTGTCTGCTGCCCTGCCGTGATGATGAATATCAAATCGACGGCTCCTGGGGGCCCTCTGGCACACCTGCAAAGGAGGTTGAATGATTGTTCCAGGCCTCAGACCCATCAAGACTTCGAAGATTGGCTTTATCCCATCCAAAAGGTCTTCGATGACGCTTTGTTGCATGGACAGCTGGCCCTAGAGGAACTGGCCTTACCTGTGCAGAAGAGTCTCAACGAATTCAAGAAGAAAACTCAGGCAAGTCCGGATTACACACAAACATCCACACACTACGTCCTGATGCAATGCACACAAACCTCCTGATGAGTCCGACAAAATAGTGCAATGAATTGCAGTGTTTTCGTTAGTCTGTCACGACCCCCGTTTTTTGTGTTGTGTTTAGTGAACACATGACGCTCGCACATAAACTCTCTCTCTCTCACACACACACACACACACACACACACACACACACACACACACACATGTAAAGATTCACCCATGGTTTCATTGACCAATTTGTGAAAATCGTTCTCAAACAGGTCGTGGTTGGATCAATCAATTAATGAATGAATCAATCAGTGCGGGCATGCATGGATAAATCTTCAGAACCTGCGACTCACAGAACGAACAACAGACACAGAACCAGTTCTCTCTCTCTCTCTCTCTCTCTCTCTCTCTCTCTCTGTGATTTGTGCTTGTGCAGTGCCTGGGCAATTGCCGGTTAGCAATTGGTTCTCTCTCTGTCTCTCTGATGAAAGTCGTGCGAGTGATTCTCTAAAAACTCTCGTGCCTTGATGAAAGTCGTGCATGTGCAGAAACCATTTTTTGGAGGGAGTCTGAAATAGTGACGGTGGCATTCTCAGACAGGCTATTCCTGCGCTGATATGAAAATGCACAGCAGTGCTGATGGGGACAGCCGGCGATGGCATATATGGCTCTGCTAATGGTGACAGCAGTGGATTGACTTGTTGCAAAAATGCGACATTGCAAGCTGATCGATAAAATGGATTGTCATCACAGGGGACCCTATTACTACCCTGCTACCCAGCCCATGTGGCTGATTCCTACACACAATGTCAAACATGTTGTTGTTTATAAGCAGATCACGAGTTCGGATCCATGTGCAATCACGTGAAAACAACAACGTTACGGCCTACGTCCTCCCTGCTCTGCCACAGAGCGGGGGGGACAGACCTGCCACAAAGCCCATGTGTCACACATGCAATTGTTTGGAAGCAGTTCAAGAGCTCGAATCCGTGTGGAATCAGGTGGTAACAATAACGTTAGAGCCTATGCCCTCCCTGCTCTGCTACAGAGCAGCGGGGGGGAGCGGAGCGGGGTGGACAGTCGAGTGATCTATGATGTAGGAAGCATGCCGACTGTTGTCTATGGCAGGAGATGTGTAGGTATGATTAGTGTCCTGCACACAATGTCACAAATGCAGTTGTTCGTAAGCAGATCATGAGTTCAAACCCGTATGGAATCTGCTGAAAACAAGGACGTTAGGGGCTACGTCCTCCTGGCTCTGCAACAGTGTGGGGTGGACAACGAGTTATCAGTCTACGGTGTAGAGGAGCACACAGACTGTCGTCTCACGGAGTAGATTTGTAGTGTGGGTATGATTAGGGAGGAAATCGTCCACATATGCTTAAAACAAGGACGTTAGGGGCTACGTCCTCCTGGCTCTGCAACAGTGCGGGGTCGACAACGAGTTATCAGTCTACGGTGTAGAGGAGCACGCAGACTGTCGTGTCACGGAGGAGATCTGTAGTGTGGGTATGATTAGGGAGGAAATCGTCCACATAAATGAATCCTGGTGTGAATTAAGACCCCAAGAAAAGAAGGGAAAATAAATCCCTTCTCTGCTGTGGCACAGAGGGGGACGGACGAGCGACCTACGACGTGAAGGGCCATGCAGACGTTCTTCTCACCCTGGAGATCTGTAATGTAACATGGCAGAAAAAAATCATCATCGGCACACAGGAATCATGGTACTAACAGTGACGCCAACAAAAAGTAAAGAGGAAAAGGAAAACCAAAACACCTGACCCATGACATTGCAGAGGACCATGCAGACGTTATTCTCACGCTGGAGATCTACAATGTGTCATCACATAGGAAATGATCAACGCGACAACGGGGATACGTGACACAGAGGACCATGCAGACGTTATTCTCACGCTGGAGATCTACAATGTGTCATCACATAGGAAATGATCAACACGACAACGGGGATACGTGACACTGTATAATCCACACCATCGTCTTCCTCCGTTTCCCATTGCTCGGACGCGTGTGGGATCGAGAGCCTTGTGTACAGGAGTAGTATGCCGCTTGCCATTGCTCAGATGCGTGCAGGATGATTGCAGGAGAATTGTAGCGTATTGCTGCGTGAAATAAATCATGAATACAAAGGATCGGGTCTGAACTCTGGCACCATTGCCTGCCTTCAGTTCTCAATGGGGCATGAGCAAAGCCCATGTAATGACTAGAACAATAGATTATTGTGCAATGCTCACAGAGGCGAGTGGGTGATGCTCATCGCTTTCACCAGACGGGCATGATGCAGCTCGATCTTGCAGGGTCCCCTTTGCAATGTGCACGGCATCGATGGCGAATCCCTGCTGATACAGGTACGATTAATTTGTGTCGTAAGTTTTGCCTTCCGTCTCTACGCAGCACAGATACCCATCAAGTTGCAGCGTGATTGGCAGAGATGGAGGGTGTGGCCGCTGCTATGTGGCTACGGCAAGGATGAGGGGCCTTGGTCCACTACTTGGCAAATGTGAAAAAGGCCCGAAAGGGCGAATTTATCCTTCCACTTTCCATTTATGAACTAGTGGAACGATGGCCCTATGGCTCTGATGGTGATGGCGGGGTGTGTTCCTGCGCGGGGAGCGCGTTGCGCATGTGGCCAAGTGTTGCAGCAGTATGTAGACAACAGAGATCTACAGTCTTCCCCCGAATACAGCGCACGGTCATTATAGGCGAATTTGGTCTATCTCGCAGTCTAAATTCAGCTATAATGACCGTACGTTGTATTCGGGGGAAGACTGTAGGGAGAAGAGGAGGAATTCCTAATCAGATCTGGAAAAGAGTGGCAATGAAATCTAGTAGAGATGCTGTATGATGAAATCAGAGCCAGGGGGGGTGGACCAGAGTCTTGTACCTCATGGGCATGATCATCGTCCGTTGTTGCACTGGATCTGTGAATTTGTATTCACACCCTGGTCATGTCCCTACACACTCCCTCCGCCCCCACCCTGCAAAAAACGAAGAAAAAAGGCCCATGCGAACTCGCCCCCATGTTGGTGGTAGAAATGAGAAAAGCTTATGACTTCGTCAGGAAGGTTGGGAATTCTCATTTGTATGAACTGCACAGTGGTTGAGTTATGAACTGGTGACTGGTCGGTAGACGACTCATGAACTGCAGACTCCGCACTCTTCATTGAGATGCAACCTCAGAGTGGCAGCTGTCCTCCAGTGGGTGAATGCCCAATTTGCCAACTCTTTGGTGAGAGTTGAACTCCCTACAGTAGTTGCTGAAGGCAATGATGATGAACTTGTGGAATTCAGATGCATGTGAGTTTAGACCACCAGTACACAGCCTCAGTCTTGTAGAAAATCATGAGTTGCCATCTCCCGAAATTTGCGCGGCTCGGAGCTACTGGTCCGCAACGGCTGGCAGCGCCAGCCAAGAAATAAAAGAACGGCACCGCTGGCTGCTCGGAAAAGCTTGATGCGAAGTGCAGTGCCACGGGTGTATTGGTGGTTTATGCGTCATCGGATCAAGCATGATGAGGTAGAGGATGGATGCTCTTAGGGGGAGAGAAGTTAGAGGGGAGAGAGAAATCACAAAGGGAAAGAGTTGCAGATAGGTCTGCATATGGATGTGCTGGGATCCACTTGCAGAGGCCAAATGCAGGCGAGGTTGATGTGACTGCAAGCATCATCGCATCGAGCATGAGGAGGGAGAATGGTTGTAGAAAGAGATTTGGCGGGTCGGCGGGGGGGAGCTCAGAAATGGCAAGGGAAAAAGTGTTTTCTCATGGTTGCTGGGCACCTGTCGTTCATCTCTTGCTCACGGAGAGGGGCAGACAGATCTGCCGCGCTGTGGTTGTGCTGTGCTGGCACAGGACTTCACCTGAATAGAATGCATGGCTGTTATAGCTGTATTTGGGGCACCTTTTAGTCTAGATACAGAGATAATGACCGTGCGACGTGCGTACTATTTGGGTAGAGACGGTAGTGTTTGGCTCCATTAGACTGGACCATTGAGTGGTGTAGGGGTATAGGCTGAGGGTGATGGCGTCCCACTACTACCTGTATCTCGGGCAACTTTCAGTTTAGATACCGAGAAACTAGAATAGCACTACCGTCTTCACCAGAAAATAACGCCCCGGGGTTGTATTCGAATATAACACCCGGTGAGCATTATATTTGGTAACTTGGTGGCATTTTTTTTTTTTTTTTTTTTTTTTTTGGAAAGAAGTCATCTTTATTAAAGTTTATTTCCAATTGATAAAAGATCGAGGCCGGGGCCTCACAATTCAACCCGAAGTAGCCATAGAATCAAACATACTGGAAACCGGGTCCAGTGTCCCATACCTACTCACCTTCTCAATAATCTCTCGTCTCAAAAAAACCTTGAGGCGCTGTTAAAAAGGGCTATTGTATGACATATCTTGTAATTTTCCTGACTCTGTCCACATCTACACGTCTCTTTATTTCCTATACTGTACCAACTGCTACCATTCTCAGACATTTAATACCTGTCCCAAAGAAGCCACCACGGAGAAACTTCTAATCTACTGATCTATTTCGGAGTCACCTTTCCCTTATGACTGACCTCCAAGCCTGAACCTCAAAGATGCAGTCTTCCCTGGACTGGTTGGTGATAATTTTGGTGGGGCCCCCCCCAAAAAAAAAAAAAAAAAAAAAACTGTAAAAAAAGATATGTTGTCTACAATTGGTACGCAACCAACTTTTGGCGGAGGGTCACTTCAGAATTCCTTACAAACCCGGAAATAGAAAAAGACAACAATAAATCAAACCAAAACATACCCCTTGGAAGTCAACCTCCCCCTCAATTCCCTTTAGAACCCATGTATACCCCCCTTCCCCCCCTTTAAAACCGATGGCACATTCAAATATAACGCCTGTCCGTTTTATTCGGACATAACGCCCGGCCGTTATATTCAAATGGGCGTTCTATTTGAAACAAAGAGTAAAAGTGAGTAAAAACAAAGATCTGATTTTTGTAGTGCAAGTTGAATATAAGGCCTGGACGTTATTTTCGGGTAAAAACGGTAGGATGAGAGTAGCGGGACGCCATCACCCTCGGGACTTATTGATGAGGTCTTCAATTTTGTAGAACTGGAATGAACTCTACCGTAGCCCCTGGATTTGATTTCTTGATAGGACATTTGCCGACCGGCCCAGTTGAAACGGTTTTCACCTTTACGGTAGCAGTTGCTGTCCCCAGGGCTCAATCCCCAGACCTCGCCCTTAACCGTGTACAGTATCAGTGCCCTGTGTGTGTTTGAACCCGCGACCTGTGTCTTGGAGGTCGCCTGTTTGCTGGTTATAGGTAGTCTGGTCGTTGGGTTTCGATCCGTAGGTCTGTCGAGTAGGAGTCCTCACTGAGTAGGGGTCGTAGCTGCTACAGTCCTGAACGGTCAGAGTTGTAGCTGCTACAGTCCCGAGAGGTCAAGTCTACAAGCTTCCGGAAGGTCCGGAAGTGACCTTTCGTAGGGTCCTAAGAGTCAGCCTAGGGGCACATGGGCAAGTGGACATTCCAACCTCGCTTAGTCAGCGGTACCCAGTCCCGGTCGCACTTTGTCAAGTCAGCAAGTACCATGTGGGACTGTGTGCACCCTGGGCCCAGGGTCCAAGGGCAGACCATTGACAATCCGAAGTATTAATCAAGAGGCAGCGTCAAGTCATCATTCATTCTGCCTGTGAGCCATGCGGAAGCGCTGCCTGAGCGTCTTGTGCAAGGGGGAGGTCTGCAGGTGCCCAAGGGAGAAGAGGACTAAGAGGAGGAAGATCGGCCATAACTGATAGATGTTAGTGTATGAGGAGGACGGTGCCCATAGCCACCACGTCAGCAGGATAGATGTTAGTGTGTGATTGAGTTGTGTGTGTGTGTACGTGTCGGGACATCCAGGGAGATCCAGTGTGTGTGTACGAACAAGCGCTGAGAGTGCAAGTGTCAGCCATAGCTCGCCAGGACAAGTTTGAATCTGAGTTGTGTTCTTGGCTTCATCATCTCTGAGCTTTGTGTGGGCGCTACAGTCTTCCCCCGAACACAACACACCCTTATTTTGGCTGTATCTGGCCGGAAATATAGCTTGTTTACATTCATTTTTAGGGTGCGTTATGTTCGGGAGAAGACGGTAGTCGCCAACTTGATCGTCATCTGTTTGTATGCATGCTGAAGGTTGAAATCGACCAGTCTGGTTGCACAGCACTTTGATATACTCAGATGCATTTTCCTTTCCTCTTCTTTCCCAAGGAAGGGAACAACTCAGAATATTGTGGTGTGCAGCGGGATTTGAATTCTTGATCTTTTTATCAATAGTAGCATGTGTGCAGCATTTGCACACAACTGCAATTTCCGCAACCTATCGAGACAGAAGCTCCCCTCGATGCTGTGAAAAAGGCCTTCCCTCCCTCCCTCCCTCCCTCCCTCCCTCTCTCTATAAGACCTACCAACCACCCTGTTATGTTCATTCACTCTGAGTTGAGCAGTTAGCAAGCACGTCTGTGGACTGGCGCCGCACACTGAGTTATGGAGTGTGGTGCGCTGCGGAATGAGCTGCGGGATGGTACACTCATATAACTACTGGTGAAGAGATCAGTAGTCCAAGTCTGAGTCGAGCCTTCCCCCTGGCCCCCCTGCCCACTGCATCCCGTGTGTAAAACAAAGGCAAATTTTTGGAAAACAAAAAAAGGGAAGTATCATTGTTGCGTGCTTCCTGTTTCTGGAGGACTGCCAACACCGTTGCGCTTCGGGGCCATTGCCTGTCCCTTTGGGCTTCCTCATATCAAGGCTTGTTCAGCTGCTTCCAGCTCCAGGTTAGCGGCAATGAGTGTCTGACTGGTTTTTGAGTGCCGGGGTTGCCTGGTCGGACCGCCTAGGTACCAAACAGGTATCCCTATCTGAGTCTTTGCGCAGGCCTCTCTGGCCGGACCCTCCAATCAGGTGTGGGTCAGGCTCGGGAGAGAAGTTCCAAGCAGGTCTGTATTTGTCTGTTCGCTTACAGCGAAGCGCTTTTCGACTCTTTGCCTCTTGTCTCCGACTTGTTGCCTAGGCCTGTCTGTCTGGCTGGACCTTCTCGTCAGGTCTGGGTTAGGGCCAGGATAAAATTTCCAAGCGGGTGTGTATTATCTGTCTGTCGACAGCAAAGTGTTTTCCAACTCTTTGCCTCTCTGTTTCTGACTCTTTGCCCTGGCCTGTCTGGCCAGACCTTCCTGGGTCAGACTTGGGAGAAAAGTCCCAAGGAGGTCTATCTTTGTCTGTCCCCGGACAGCGAAGCGTTTTCTGACTCTTTGCCCACACCTGGGTGGATCTTGTGGTCTTGTCTGGGTTAGTGTCAGGAAGAAATTTCCTAAATAGGTATGCCTAGTGTCTGCCTGCCAACAGCAGATGGCTTCACAACTCTTTGCCCAGGCCTGACGGGCGGGACCTTTCGAACAGGTTCGGGTCAGGGTTGGTTAAAAGGTTGCAAACAGGGTTGAGTAAAAGGTGCTCTGTGTTTGTCCACCAACAGCAGACACTTTTATAGTAAATTTATACTGCTTTGCCCAGGCTTGTTTGGCCGGACCTTCCGGACTGGTCCAGCCTACCTTCTTCACAGAATACAAGTTATTATACAACGTACATCGTACGGTCATTACTGCTGTAAGCTACAATGACTGTACGTCGTATTGGGGTGAAGAAGGTAGGGTCAGGAAACAGGTTCCAAACAGGTCTTCCGGTGTCTGTCGACCAACAGCCGACAGTTTTGTCACCGTTTGCCAAAAAGCCCGGTTGGATGGTCTGGTCTGCCCTTCTGGACCGTTGGCCAATCGTCTAGTTCAGCTACATAGATCCAGTCAGAATATCGGCCAGATACATGGGAAAGTCCTTGTGCAAGTATGTCGGCTAGTCTGCGTTGATCCATTGGGTCATCCAGAAAGTCATCTAGAATGCTCGATGTTTTGTCTGTTTTGTCTTTTGCAGAGAAGTGCCAGGCATTTCCCTCGTCTTGGGCTACACTCACACTAGCACTCCTTGATGTATCTGACCGCAGTTGCGGTTGGACCTGTACGTATCGGACTGTAATCACGTCCAGAAATCAGAAGAAAAAGTCGTAGTGTGAATATGCCCTTATTCTATTCAGTAGTATTGGTTGTGAAACCATTTCAGACTCTATCTTCGGCTCCTTTTTCTTTGTCGTCTGGAATTGGCTGCTGTTTTTCTATTAGTAAACAGGGTGCACTGCTTTTCTCCAATTTTTATCCTTGCCAGTACTCAGCAGTTCCTTTGTAGATTTTCGTTCTACTGTGCATGCTCCATTCGTAGATTTTCGTTCTACTGTGCATATTCTCCATCTTAGTTTCTTTAAGTCTAGGCAGGTTTCCACCTCTTCAGCCTCCTCTCTGGGGTTGAGGTCCTGAGAGCCGTGCAGTTATGTTGCTTTCAAGATGAGTATGTGATGCAGAATCGTGCTGTTATATTGCTTTGTTGACGATTATGTTGTGCCAACACATCGCAGTTCTCAAGGCAAAGGACGTGGGCAACCACTCCTCCGTACTATGTCCATAGTGATCAGAGGTTTTGTTTGTGCATATGCCGATTGAACTGTACCTGCATGCTCACAGAATGGTGTGGCACAGGAATTTACCATGTGGATTGTGCTTGATCTGTGTGTGTGCACTTGCTGTGCATGCATGTGAGACACACACACACACACACACACACACACACACACACACACACACACACAGAGAGAGAGAGATTGAGAGATTTGTACTTTCCTCTGAGCTGTGCTCATTTCACGGTCCTTGAATTTCCCTTGGATAACTTGCCTGTGCAGAATGCCTGGGGGAACCTGACTGGCATTTTTGAGCGGGAGGATGGTGAGAGATCGAGATGCCCACGATGCAAGGGTTCAGGCCTCCTCCAGAAAGAATCTCCGCTTGGATGGAATAGTCCGCTGCTAAGTGGGGGTGAACCATGCTGGTTTTGCGAAGGGTGAGTGTGGGAGTCTACCCCATAACAGTAGTGTGTGTCTTCTCTGCTTCGTCTCTGCATCCTTGTTCTAGAACTCCCACCCTCCCTCTCTCTCTCCCTCCCTCTCTCTCTCCCTCCTCTCTCTCTCTCTCTCTCTCACACACTGCACCAATGGAATGCCATGCACATTATCCTACCGACATCCCCGTCTGTTTGTAATACACATACATGGCCATTCCCTCCTCATACCTGATAGGCATAGAAATGGGAGAGGTGAAACCGTGAAAGAAGAAACAAAAGAGAGACCATGGAACAGCAGAAGCCGAAAATCTTATTAAGTTTGCTTCATGCTATCTGTTCTTCCCTACATTTCCTTTACAAAGTGCAGTCTTTCAGTCGGTAGACGTGTGACACACAATACTTTCTCTTTCTTCAGGAATTGGATAAAGAGCATCGAATGATTACCGATAATAGAAAAAGAGAACAAAACAGCATTGAATGATCCTGATAAAGCAGGCAGGTTGGGCAAAATGAGCCTGTTATGAATGGTGGTAGATTTGAACTTGGCACCTCAACCACCAGTACTGGGGAGGCCTTCCTAAGTTTTCTTCAGTATACTCAGTGACTGTTATTCTGATAGTGGACCAGTCTGCCTGCAGCTGGATTGGTACGTGCTCAACGGGAGGAAAATTTCTTGAGGGAAGAAAATCACCTTTCCGTGGCTAGTGGTGTAAGAAGATGAAGTAATGGATGAAGTAAATATGAGTCTAGGAAAATTCAAAATAGTGCATGACGTCTGCAAATTGGACGGGTGAAGTCGCACTTGTCTACAGTCAGAGATGACGAATCCAGTGGGAAAAATAAAATGAATAAATAAAAATTGACAATTGGCTGGGTAGTTGGAACCTCACCCCCTCTCAAATGTAATATGCCCTTTTTCTTTCCCTCTCAAAAATAGGTTATGGCCTTAAAGCACCAGTACATGGGCACCTTGGCCGAGGGCCTGACACGTCAAATTCTGGAGGCGCGAAACGAAAATGTGATCGCCGGTCGAATTTATCAACGGTGGGCCCAGCGTTTGACGTCTCGGCCTCACTCGTTTTCTTGTGGCGACGAGTCTCGAACTGCAAGGCTGGGGCCGTGTCGTCATCCAGGTGACTGACCCCAGGTAACTCAGAGCTAATTTTTTCAGTCGTCTGATCCCAATAAAATTTTAAATTGATAACTGCCTTTAATCTTCTATTATATTGTTGCAAAATAGAAGATTGTAATAATATGAAATTCTAATAAATAGTCAATTTTGATTGAATTTTTGAAATTTTGTTATTTCTTCATCTTTTTATTCTTATTGATGTAAAATAGTACAAATAAAAGAACATCTATGATTCAAACTCAGGTACCAAAGAGCCTAGCTCAGTTGGTACGCCAAAGAACTGTTGAAATAAAGGCCCAAGTTCTTGATTCCTATGGACCAAGATGTATGCGATGAAATAAGTCCAAATTACCTGGGGCAGTGAACTGAATTGGAATCAGATTACGGCTCCCCATTTTTTACGAAAAAAAAAAGAAATGAAGCAAGAAAGACCAGCAGGCTTCGATGTACGTTTTCTTCTTTGCAATCCCGCCCCCTCCCCCCAACCCCTGGAGTTAGGGGTCCCGCTTGGCATGGGTCCAGGGCCGAAAACCCTGGTTGAGGGTGAGATGAGACGTGCGTTTGATTTTGTAATTTGGCATGACACGTGTGTGTTGGGGGTCCGTGGCCAGGGTTGGACGAGCCTGGTCGGGGGAAAACGAGCTTTGTGGTTGGTTTGCAGTTTTGCATGATGCAGGTCTATTTAACCACGGTGTTCCCCGCTGAATGCTTTGTTGGACGAGCCTGGTCGGGGGAAAACGAGCTTTGTGGTTGGTTTGCAGTTTTGCATGATGCAGGGCTATTTGACCACGGTGTTCCCCGCTGAATGCTTTCTCCTTTTTGGTGCGGCATTTTGTGTTGTCACTGTTGTGTCAGTAGTAGATTACCAACTTGTGCCTTGTGAATGCTTTCTCCTCTCTTTCTGGTGCAGTATTGGTGTTATGCCGATTGTAGATCTCAGCGGTTACCTGGTGGCAAGATCACCAACACGCTTCCGAACTCGGGACCCCCCACCAAAGTCGCCACGAAGGGATGTGGACGTGCGGTTGCATTTGGGAAAGTTCCCGGGCTCTCGGTGTAAATTGCGGACTCTGCGTGTTGCTGGGGGTATAAAGCAACTTCTGTTTGATCCTTTGCGTGTTCCACGATGGCTGCTGGAAGCTGATCCAGATGCTGCACCCCATTGGCGCGCATCCCCGCCCATAGTTCGCAAGCTGGCAGCTCCGGAATGGCGCAGGCTGTGGCCATCTGCGGGTTCAGGCTCACGAACATCAACAGGAAGCTCTACTCCAGTGTCAACGCGTGGAGCTGGGAGTGCTGGTAGTACCCAGAGTCGGCATCCGCAATCACAACAGGCATTGTCTTCAAGAGGAGGAACCCCTGCTGGCGGTAGTGGTGGAGCTACTTCAGGTTCGCAACAACAGAAAAGGAGGACACCCGTTAGAACTCCGTCGCCCAGAAGATGCTTACCCCCTTGTACACCAAAAGGGGAGGAAGTTGCTACCCCCCGAACTCTTTCCCATCCACAAAGACCATGTCAACCCTCTGCGTGTACTCCCAGCCGTATCCGCACTCGACCACCTGCAGTGAATTGCTTTACGAGTGGCGGAATCCAGAGCAACATTGTGGGGCCCTCTTCCCCTACCTACAGTGGCACGCCTGGACCGCTCACCCACTGTGTGCGTCCGGAGCGCATGGGTCGAAGTAGCTATGGCCGTGTGGCACCTGCTTGTAGTAGCGATTCTGAGGATCCGGAGGGTTTGGATTTTCTCTCGGAAGGGGGGGGATGGTCCCCGCGTGGACCCTCGTCACCTCGGACACCGACCAGCCGTGGTGGACGTACACCAAGGCGTGAAAGGAACAGAATACGGGAGAAGGCAGAAAGAGATGCAATTGAAAGGGCCAAGCGGATCACGTCCAGGCTGGTTGTGACTCCTGTACAAAGGCAAATGGATGAGCAGTTAGGAAGTGACCTTGTCATCGAAATCGGTGATGGGCGTGGAGCTGGGCTTGCTGGGGAGGGTTCAGTGGGTTCATTGCATGTCAATGATGGTGGTAAAGAGGGCTTGGCCAGATCTCAAAGCGGGAATAGTAGGGGCTCCCCCATGGTGGATTCTTCTTTGAAAGGAACAACAACGACAACAACAACAACAACAACAACAACAACAACAACAACAACAACAGGAGGAGGAGGTTTGCAGTCTACACCCTCAGAGGAACCTAGTTTTGAAAGGGAGAAGTCTCACATGAATCTGTTGAGAAGACGGGGTGGGGATAAGGTTGCTGTTTTGAAAAAGGCTGGCTTGTTTGGTCTGGAGAAGTTGCTTCAACCACTGTTCAAACCATTGTTAAACTCAACTAACATACGGCAGAACGTAGGGGTCCCCGCCCTACGGTCCTTGGTAGGCGCAACTGCCGTCATTGGGCCGGTGCGCAAACTGCCCAGCAATATCATGAGCAGTGATTCTCTTCCAGTTGTGTCTGTGGGTGCAAAGGGTGTAAGCAGGGAGATAGGGATTGATGGTATGGTGAATGTGGCAGCTGCATCGAGCACTGCTGCAAGCGATTCTTTCCCAGTTGTATCTGTAGGGATGAAGGGTGTAGGCAAGGAGGAAGGGGCTGATGGGAAAGTGACTATGACAAGTGTATCAAGCAACATGTCAAAGGCACAAGTCAATAGGTAGGTACGGAAAAGTGGTGTTGCAGTTGCACTTGGTCACCCACGTGCAGCCTTTTCCGCTATTTGTTTTCTTTGTCTGCTGACTCTTTTGCCCCTTTTGTTCTCCTTGTCGAGGTCTACCACCACGTTACCCGTCTCTTCTTCCTTTCACTCTCTCTCAGTTGCCTATCTGTTTCTTTGCTCAGTATGTTTTTCATCTTCTGTCCGGTTGTGTTTGGCAGCAGCTTTCCGCTATCTGTCGTCCTGATCGCTAGTTTGTCCGCCGCCTTTCTGTTTCTCCAGCTGTCTGATAGTTGGCCCCACCCTATTGCTCTCTCTGTCGCTCTCGACTGCCCTGCCCCTCTGTTTGCCCACCTGCCAGCAAACCATGGCCATCGTGTCACATTCTGTCCATTAAGTTGGCTGACAGCTTGCTGTTTTTGAGGTCAGGGGGGATGTTCATGTTCCGCAGCTCTGTCATTTCGTTTACCATTTGCTCTGACGTCAGGGACGTGGTACGGCTGCACTGTCACCCTCTTTGTTTGTCGACTCTTTGCCCCGGTCTGTGGTTCAATCTGTGAAGTCCTCATGCTTGCCAATCTCTTCGTTAGGCTGCCGATTTCGAACACAGCCATGCATTCATTCATTCATTCATTCATTCATTCATTCATTTTGCTCTCTGCTTGTTAATTTAGCCATATAGTTTATCATTCTTTTGCTTCGTTTTTAAAGCTACTCGTCATTTGTTCTACACGACTCATAAATGAAAATACAGCCGCGTAAGCATATCCAGGACTTTATGTTGGTGATGCTAGTGAAACCTGATTTTACCAGTCAATTTGTAGGATGCATAGATGCGATTTTGAACCTGTTTTCATCAACTTTTAGCACTGCGAGCAAGTGCCATTCACCAACTTTGGCCTGCCCTATTTGTCTGTGTTCCTTGCCGCAAGACACAGCTTTCATTTTATCTTCTGCTAGCTGTTTATCCTCATGTTTTTTGTTTCTTTTTTTTTTTTTTTTTTTTTTTTCAATCTGATCTGTTATCCTCTTCTCGGACATTTGTTTTACGACCTGATCTGTTGAAGTAGATGTCCGCTGTCCCTGCCTGGGCCTGCCATAGGGATGAGTCGATTGAAGTAAATCGTCAAGGTCCCAACACATTTGCACTGTCACACGCCCCCCCCCCCCCCCCTCCCGTTAAACTGACAACTCCTTAACCCCCCCTCTAGAGTCTAGAGTCTAGACCCATCACTTCTCTAAGTTCTCTTACGTTTGTGGTAGTTTGATAACTGTAGGGCAAATCCTGTTGTGGCAGTGATATTGGTTACCTTGTGCAACTTGGACGAGTCCGATGAGCTGACTGCATCCGCTTCCACTCCCACACGCTCCGCCGTGTGCGTCCGTTGTGGAGGTAGCATCTGTCAGACATCTGTTCCCGGACTGACATCGTGTCCAAGAGGTGGGAGGTTGTGTGATTGTTCGTCACTCTACAGTGCACATACGTATGTCACGCATTGTGACAGTTTCCCCGGGTGCTCGCTGTGCGTAGTGATTTGTGGAGTTCCTTATCTCCGCAAGAGCACCACGTACTACTCATCGCGACAATTGCAACCCCAACCTTCCGATTCTCCCCCCCTTCATCTTTTTTTTTCCGTGACTGTCTTCTGCCTCAGTGCGTATGAAGACACACGTTAGGAAAAAGTGCAGACCGGGGGAA